GCACTAGCAGCTACAGGAATCAGGAAAGGCCTCATGAGTCCAGTGGCCACCTGCTGAAGGAAACTGGAGATTCAAAGAGGAGGAAATGGGAATGCATTCCAGATCTGGTGAATTATGTATCTAAAATCACAGAGAGGGGAGATAAGCCAACGTACAACAAGAAGGCAAGTCTGGCTGGATCATAAAGTGCATGAAGCATGATAAAGCTTGAAGGGTAGGTTGGAGCCAAGTTGTAAAATCTCCCATCTTTCTCTCCATCCATATAGCCACTACTCTGCTACAGGGCTCACCAGTCCACTGATGCCTGCCAGTTGGTTACCCTACCTTAAATGTCTTCTTCATCCGGTCCATCTTCCACTTTGCTGTCAAAGTGATCTTCCCAAGACACACGTCTGACCGTGCCACAAACCTACTCAACAAGTTATAACGGCTCCCCATTACTTTCATGATCAAACATAAAATCTTCTGTTTGGCTTTTAAAATCCTTTTCAATCTAGCCCATTCCTACTTTTCTTACATGTTATTTCCTTCTATGCACTCTAAGAACTAGATATATGGACATTTTTGCTGTTCTCAAACTTGACTGTTTATCTCACTGCCTATATGCAGTGTAAATGAAAGGTAGTCTCACAGGGAAAGTACTAAATAAGGAACATGGGGAAAAGACCCCAGCAGAAGGTAGGATTTGAGCCCGGTCTTGAGTCAAGAGGCAGAGACAAGGAAGGAGAGCATTTGAGGAATGGGAGACAGTAAAAAAGCTTCCCTCTGAGACTCTTGCTCATTTACATTGTATATCTTGTATGTACATATTTGTTTACTTGTTGTCTCCACTAAAATGAGCTCTTTTAGGGCAGAAACTGTGGTTTTTACCTTTTTTTTATATCCCTCAAGCTTAGCACAGTACCTGGCACATTGTAAGTGTCTAATAAATGCTTTCTGGCCATGACTATTGTAGTGATGTATCTTATTTATTTTTGTATTTCCTTCAACACCTAATCTACCATTGATTTGAATTTATTGAAATTCATAAGAAATATAAGCATATGAAGTACAGGCATATCTAGGCACTCTGGGTAGGTAGTATTCAACATCCTGGTTTTTAAGTTCATGAGCAGTTTGTTCCTTAATCACTTGATTTGTTGCCATACTACATACTTAGAATAAGGAAGAGAAGTCTTATAAATTCCATTTAGCCTAGTCCTCCTGCTCCAGAGAAATTGGTGCTTTCTATCAAAAAGAATGCTGTCTACTCCCAGCATGAAGTAAGTGGCAGGGAAGTTTAGTTAAGCAGGGGTCAGGAAGCAGAAACTGGAGAGCTGCCCAGCTTTTGCTGAGCCTGGACTTCATAATGTGGCTTCATTATTCTGTTAGAAGTGAATTTCCAGAATGTTAACCACATATATTCAAATGCAAATACAACAACACATCAAAGTCTAATAAAGTGACAGAATTATAGGATCTCTAGTTAAATGGGCCTATTTTGGCAGCATCTATCATTTTGCAAATCTAAAGGTAGTTCCACCTTCATTAACATGAAAAATCAAGGGCTAACTTGTAATAATAATTGCATCTTACAAAGATAAGAAAAATGAAATAAGAAATGAGTTGATAGATTGATTACACTACTAATGGATTCAGAATACCACAACTGTAAACCTTCAGTATTTCCCTCACAGCAAAGCCCAGAAGTCTATCACTGAGGCCAGATGTTTTGGTTTGTTTTATTTTAGCAATAATCTCAGCAGGGAGAAAGATTTATGGAACTTATTGCCTTCTCTGTGAAGACATCAGTAACGTCAGATAACACAATCTGGAAGGCGCTCACTAGAAGCTACCCCACTCTAGAGGAAAATATATACAGGACTACACTGCTATACGTTACAAATTGTTACTAGCCTTCATTTGTTGTGTGCTGCAATGAAGAATAAACCAATAAATGGCATCAGACTTGGAGACCAGTATCTCAGAAACAAAGAAGTCATTCAAATATTCTTCTACTCAAAAGCATCTATCTAGGGCTCATGGCCTTATTTTTCTCTTGGTAAAATGACAATCCTATTTATTAACTATAGTTAAGTCAGCAAAATATTCTGGAAAAGCACTGGAAGAAGCCTTGAGTCCTAGTCATTCCTCTGCCACTAGCCTCACGACTAGGGGTAAATCACTTAAACTCTCTAGGTACTATTCCTCATCTGTAAAATAAGAGGATTAAACAAGGTCATCTCTAGAGCTACTTTCATTTCTAACCATTTAAGATCCTAAAGAAAAGGATGGTTCTTCATTACTTACTCTGCTGTCTGGGCCAGAAGCCTGACTGTTACTTAGTGACAAGGCTATTCCCCCACAACTGTTTCCAATACTTAAAATGGACTCGGTAATAAATACGAACAGTTGCTGGCTGGGGCAAACAGGTAGTTATGCAGTCCTGAGCAAGTCACAACCTCAATTTCTCTTCTGTCAAATGGAGGGGATAATGACTACTCTGAGAGGCAGAAACTGGCCTCAGAGTCAGGAAGATTTCAGGCAGGTTCAAGCCCCACCTCTGACTCAGATTGGTTGTATGAGGTTTAGAGTCAGTCTCCCAGGTAACTCTAAGCTGATAGATTTCAGAGTGATGCTAGTCTACATGAGAAGAGGGAATTCTTTATGCAACAAAATCACTAGTCCAATTAAAAAAACAAAAACCCACAAAACTGTAAGATGACTCAGCTGCCAGGATATCTGAAGTATATACATTAAGCTCAATTTGGTGTAAAATTTCCTTAGCTTTCAAAGGCCAATTTACATGTCATAATATGTGGTGTTAACATGCCATAATATTTAATTTTTAATCTTTATTTATTAAAGTAGTATGAACTGACATTATCCCATGCTGGTTCCTTTGAGGTTATAAGTCAGTTGATTATTGTATTTCTGTATGTTTTATATCTTCTGACACTTTGTTACCTTCCAGGTTTACATCCTCAAAAATCTAATGTTTTCATCTAACGTTTGATCAGGAATCATTTAGTGCTCATCTTTGAATGAAGTTCTTGGAGAAGAATGAATGACAGAGCTCTAAAGGGAGTAGTCAAAAAAATTCTTTATTGACCATTAATTCACCAAAAATGGCAGACAGAACTAAATAATCTCTGAGGTTCAAAATTCAGTATGTTTCAACAAAAATCTATTAAGTGCCTACTATGGAAAAGGCACTCTGCTAAAAGCTTAAGATACCTCCTAAGATAAATAAGACATGAATTATAAGCACTTTGATCATAGGTTCTAACAGAAAAAGACACAATAACCATAATATCGGGGGCTCATATTATTATGCTATAAGTAATAAAGCAGAAAGTGTAAAGGAAAGATTCAGGGAAAAGCACTACAAGAAATTTGAGGAGAGAGATATAACAGCTGGTGAGTGGGATGAGGGAAGAGTAGAAAAGGGCTCACAAAGAAGCACCTGAATTGAGCCTTGAAGGGAAAAATATTAAAAAGAAGAAATGGTAGCTTAGAGTAAAGTCAATTCCTGGTGCAAGGACTATATAAACAAAGATGGAGAGATAGAAGAAGGCAGAATAAGAACAGGGGACAAAGAAGGGAGAGTATGTCAAGGGCAGTAGCATGAATTATGGAATTTCAGAGATGGAAGGGCCCTTAATGTCAATCTACATTAAACCATACCTGAAAAGAAACCCTCTTTCTAATAAACATGGTAAATAGTCACTCAACCTTTGCCAGAAGGCCCCAAGAAACGGGGAAATCCACCACCTCCAGAGGCAACCAATTCCACCTTTGGACAGCTCTTATTGTTAGGAAGTTTTTCCTAATATCAAGCCTAAACCTGCCTCTTTATAACTTATACACATTACTTTTGGTCCTGCTCTGTAAGACTAAATGAAAAATGTCTAATCCTTCTTTCACATGACAGCCCTTTAAATCCCTGAACATAGCTATCATTGTCCCTGCCATTTCATCAGTTTTCTCCAGTTCAAATGTACATCTATGATTTCTTCAACTGATCCTAATGGACCTGAAGTCCTTCACCATTCTAGTTGCTTACTCTTGCCTTTCTATAGCTTATTGGTGCCCTTTCCTAAACTGCAGCACACAGAATTGAATACAAAACTTCAGATGTGGTCTAACTGGGGCAGAGTATGACAGAACTATAACTTCCTCATTCCTGTAAAATATGCTTCAATGTAGTCTAAGACTGTATGAGCTTTTTTTGGCTACCTCACTTGATAACCTCATCAGCATCCATAGGGTTCATTATTATCTACATGCAGATACAAATATTATTATCTATATGCATTTTGTTTCCTGGATGCTCCTGATACTGTCATTTTGTCCACTGTCTTAAACTGGCTCAAGAATTGAAGAGGAGTACTTGTATGGAAATCTACAAAGCAAGCCCCAAAACAGAAAATTATTGAGTTTTAACCAATCATCTCTAGAAAATAATGGAGAATATTTAGTCTTCAGCACCCACAGCTCCAAAGTTGTTTATGTCTGAGATCTTCCAAATCTAGAGTCCAGGGCAGTTTGGAAAACTGGAGAACAATGAGAAAGACAGAGTAGGGACCAAGAATAGAACTGGGGCCTTGAAATCTAAGAAAGTCCGATGAAAGAGCTGCATGAAGATGAGATTTTCTTGAAGATGGGACATCAGAAGATAACAGGAATCAAGGATTGCTTGCTGTCAGATGTTAAAACTATG